TCAACTGTAAATAAATGGCGCAAAGATTAGAGAAAACCGTAAAAAAACAGAAACAGAAAAAAACACGGGCAGTAATTTATACTTGCCTGACTAGTAGATGCCCTGTAAACTGGCCAAGAGTACCCAAATTCCTTATCAAATTTTTATGTATACAAAGTCTAAAACAATTTTGGCTTGGAATTAAAAAATGCTGTGTTGTTTTTAAATATACTTCAATATACATTTAGCAAAAATGTAGGTCTAATCCTAAAGTATTTTGTGAGCAACCCGAATTTTAAAGTTATAATTATTTGTTGGTTAAAAAGGCCCACATACCAAATATAATGTGTCTAGCTCCAGATAGACCGATAGAAGAAAGATAGAAACATTTATATTTTATATAGACATTTTATCTTTTCCAGTGTAGGCATTAAAAAGATATATTTTTTAAAAATTTTACAGGGTATTAAGCCAAGCAAACCAACAAAAAAAATTGTGTTGAAAGCCCCGCAAATGCGTACGCAAAACAAATAAAAAATGGGGTGTGATGCAGGCAACAACAAAAAAATTCGGAGCAAAAAACTGGCTTAAAGAAAACATTTAATGGTTTTTTAAATGTTTTTTAAATGTGCGTGAAAAATCTGTCACTCGACACAGAACTTCAAAAGCTTAAAGCTACGGCCCCATTTCCTGTTTGCCGAAGGGGCAGGCAACCCATGCAAATTGGCTCTAGCAAAAGTTGTTATCATGAATCCAAGACGCGTTGTTATTGCTTGACACCCACTAAATCCGCAGCCCAGCTCGAACTTGTATGCCCAATAGACGAAGCCGTAGCCATTGCCGCAGTCAGCAACGCCTACAATAAATAAATGCGCTCAGACATTGTCCTTTTCAAGGCGCAGCCTACGGGCGGGGGGGTTCGGATTGCTGGTGTTGATGATACTATTATCTTATATCGCGACCGGGAAGGACTCTGCAAGCTGTCAGTGGACGCGGCAAAGGACTTCAATAGTCCTTTTGCCAGGCATTTACAATTCATAGATACTCGCAGTTTTATTGGCTTTCGAAGGTCCTTTTTGTCGCCTCAGCCGCCCACCAACAACAATAACAAGGACATAAACCGCAAATAAGTTTAACATTGTACAACATTTACGTTCCGGCGAGTGCCAGAGGTTTCCCTTTTGTTATTGTATTTGCTGTGATTTGTGTGGCTTTGTGCAGCGCTTGAATTTTAAAATGTCGCGCACAGTGGGACAAACCGTGTGAAAGTACAAACAAAATTGTGCAAAAGTACAAGAAAGTTTTCAAAAATGGAATACTACTGGAATAGGTAAAATTACTTTTACTAATACTTTCAGTAATGCCTCAGCTCGATTTTAAGTATGAGTACTACTCATACTCATTCAGGACGATGCCAGAAGTACTTATTTTGATCTAGCTTTAATTTTAAAATATTCATTTATACGCATACACAAATGTATCTCATCTCTGTTGTGAGTTTGAATACAACGCATAATCATTCCGGCGGTTACTCTGAGTCAAAAGTACTTGAATGGATCATCTCTGTTTTAAATATAAGTACTACTCATACTCATTCTGGCCGTCTCAATATCAAAAGTACTCGTCTGGAAATATGTTCCGTACTCAGAGTTTAATGGTCTCAAACGGAAAGGGCTTTAGTTCTTAAAGAGGTTAGGTGTATGAATACTACGTATACTCATCATGGATTTGAATACGCATATGAGTAGTATATTTACTCATCTGCAATAAAACTACTCACTTTATACTCACTACAGTTCTATGTTCAAACTTCCCACCAATACAAAATAAAAGAGCATTAGCGCCCGCCTTGCTCCACTGTACCCTTAAGCCACTTTCAAGTAAAAGGGGTGCAAATGGTTCAATTTGTAAAATTGCTTGTTTTTTCTTGAACCCAAAACCCAGTAAAGACATTGCCACAAGACGGCACAATGCTATCTAATCTTATTAGATATTATTTTTACGTTAAACTTGCATTTCAGCACACTTTAAGGCCAGAGTTGGGGCTATTGTTCAACCACCCCCCGCTAAACGGAAATCTAACAAATTGTCTTTAATAACGAGTCGTGTCTTTAAACTTGGAAACAAGCGTTTTTAATGATATTTACAGGAAATGCCAGCAAAACGCATCAATCATTTGTCAGCCATAAAAATTCGTCACACATGAGCATTAAATTATAAAAAAAATAGTAGAGAAGGACGGATAAAAAAAACCAGAGAGAAATTCTTAATGGTTCTTTGTAAAAATGACCTTGTAAGTTATGAGGCACAGTTGGGCGCCCTTTTAGCCAAAAAGCCACGAGTCGAGGTTCAACAGCGGTCACTCCAGCAAGAGCTGGGCACAGACCCGAAGCCCAACATCAACTTGTGGCTGTGGGTGGCGCGGGTTCAATTGGTTTACCAACCGCCTACTCCTGCTGCGTGTGTGTGGTAGTCAAGTGCGTGCGCGCTCATATGTGAACATTTATTGGAAAACATTATTATTTATGACTTTTTGAATGACATCGCTTGAACTTTTTCAAGCAATAAAGTCCAAGCACAATAACAGCGGATATTGCGGCGGGACTTCAATTTTTTATTTCCGTTATTTAAAATTGCATTTTCCATAGAGAGTTGAGAGTTTTTGATTTATGAAGATATTCATTAGGAATTCGGGATATACTGCATACGAAAATTGAGGAAATCTTAATGAAATGACACTGAGAATCATATTTGAACCACTTTTAAATGTCTAAAGAACCTGTCCACAGCTGAACGGATAATAATTACAATTACTAAAAAATTCCTCATTGCGGCTGTGCTTAGAGAAAAGCCTAGCAATTTGTTTTTAAAAACCAGCCAAGATTGACTTTTCTTAATCAGAGAACGATTTTAAAATTTTAAGAACATTTTAAAGAATAAACACACCAAAAGTTTTCATCCATTGTAGTGTACATCTAATATGTTCTTTGTAATTTGGAAAACATCCTTTTTCTCAAGACAATCGAATTAAGTAAACCAAAAACCAAAGAAAACAAATTTGTATCTTAAGCCACGCATAAGCTAAACTTCCAATCTAAAATGAAAATCTTTGTGCCCACAATAAACGACCTAACAAATAGCAAAGGCTTGAAATCCACACGCTGAAGGGTTATATCCCAGTCCCAGCTGCAGTTAAGGAGTCCTTTGCCATGTGAAGGACGTTGCATATATTATATGCACACGCTTTAAGATCTTATCAAATAACCATAAGAACAAGAATGATTATTTTAAGTAATTGCCAGCTATTGTTAGCCGAGAAAATAGCAAAAAGGACCTTTTTCTTATGGCAGGCATTCGTAGCCTTAATTTAAACTAAAAACTGTGACTTTTGTTTTTATTTACTAAACACTCCGCTTATTTACTGGGGGGAATGAATAAAAAAAAAAGAATAAGAAGGAAGCTTTTGTATATGTATGAGTGAGATATGTACATGCTCCAGGCGCATGACCCATTCCTGAACTCACACACAAAGCTCTGGCAGCGTTGGATACGACGGATACACGAACTCTCGCACTCCCGACTAAACTAATGCCATCCTCGTCTAGCCTCGTATCTCTGTCTGTGTGTAGGGTGCGGGTGAGTCAAAGTGTAGATAGCTGCCTGCCATAGGACGTCAACGAAGTGAACGATGTCGACTCCGCATACATATAGAATGTCCTAAGGTGGAGCAGAAGCCATGACTGCGGCCATGACAGCGATAATGTATACCAGCCAAGCCGAAGGCGAGGTTGAGGAGGCGTGTGTAGAGGAGGGAGCGACTCTTGTAGGGTTGCCGTTTGCTATGGCATCACCCACCCAACCCAGCCCAGCCAACCAGCCAGACCCAACCAACTACCTGCTGTCGTCTGCAGCTGTCTCTCTCAGACTCGCTTCCCTCTTTCATGCCTGTTTCAGCTTTGTGGGTATTAAGTTTTTGGTCTTAATGCTAAAGATAAACGTCTGTGACTGCACTTATCGAGTTACTACTTAGAGGGTTTACCTCTTTTAGGTGAATTGTCTGAATATAGAATATCAATTGATTAACTTAAATATCAAATAAATTCTTCATATATAATATATTTTGGATAAATTATGAGTACATAAAATATCCAAAAAAGCGAATTCACATATTACCGCTTTTTAATGCGGTTTTCCCGCTAGAACTAGCTTTTTTTGCTTTCGAAAAGTTGGCAACACTAGTCGCAAACCTAAAAAATTTAATTTATCCGATCCTAATATTGTTCTGAGCAATTTGTTTACCTTTTTATGGCATAACCAAGTCCCCAAGCTTCTTTAGGTCTATTTAATCCAAATGCTGCACTAATAATTTATTAATATTTACACACGCGCTCACTTGTTTAACACTAGTTGAGAATTACAGCGACGTACCGAACCTAAGCTCGAATTAGAGATTTTTACACGAAGGCGAACGCGACATGAACACGACGCGACCACAACAAATACCCGACACGACACGCAAAATAAAATATAAAAAAATATTGGTTATTTTGAATAGATAAATAAAAAGGTCGCTAAACAACAACATTTACATTATTAAATTAAAATTAAATTATATTAAGCATTGCTATTAAAACCATGCGACTAAGTGTTAAAACACTTTAAAATAAATTTAGCTGAAAGTTTACGTTAAGCGGAAATCTTAATTCTGATTGATATTATTTTATTTTAAAAGGCAATTGGATCGATAAAAACTTTCTGAAAGTTAATCTTATGTGACTTAAAGTCTTGATATAAAAATAGGTGCTAATTGCTGAATGATGTCTGATTGTTAATATGAAGTACTCTCTAATATGAAGGAATTTAGTTGTAAGAGATTATAGAGCTTTATAGCCATCATAAATTTCAAGGGCAATATTATAGGAATATTTATATGAAGCTCATTATTTAAACATTCTAGAGGCAAATGTTGTTTACAGACCTATAAGCATTTATATATATATAAATGCGGGCAGATATCTGCGCATATAAAATGCGAATTGCAATTTTGAAGCACAATCAAATTCACTTGGGACACTTTTTTATGACGCACTTTGTTAAACGATGTGGTTTGTATGGATGTGAATTTCTCGGCGCCGTAGCCAAACACAAGCTGGGGTTTCCAGCAACCCCAACAGTCAAATGCTTTTCTTATCGAGCAGGCAACTTAAGGTCTTGACCGTGGGGACATGTGGGTCGCTTTTTTAGCTGCTTGTTGACTGGACATATGAGACACTTTTTGTTTTATCGTGGACGATACATCAGCCATCAAGTTGATTAACTCACATGGAATGTGCCAAAGTGCCCGAAAATCAAATTAAATTGCTCTGACGTGAATGTTGGTGACATATATCCAAGTGGTTGTTATGAGGGAGGAGTTTGTCATGTTTGGGATGCTGCTGGACCATTTGATTTATGCATTGCAAATCGATAGTTTGTGTGGGTCCTTAGAGTAAAGGGATAAGTGTCATAGAGAAGATGATATGATGCACAGAATTTGAAAAGTTGATGAAATGAGTAACAAGTTGCTACTAGACGGCCTGCTTGGCCTTCATATGCTGCTCGTACTTTTTTTCCAAGAACTTAAAGACAGACTCGATGGCTGAATAGGAGGTCCATTCGTGCTCCGGATGTCCAGCAGATACACAAGTGATATTCTCGGCTGCATCGCCTTGTGTTAAATCCGTATCGAGCGGCTCGTTACTTGACACCCAATTGCAGGTAACATCGAGAAAGTATTTTTGACAACCGGCCGGCGGATGACCCACTGTGCCATCAGTCAGAGCAATGGCATATACTTTTTCTTTAAAGAATTGCGTAAATTTCTCCGTCTGCAATGAGTAGGGTATTATTATTAAAGTCTGATTGGATTACTTCTGCACATACCAAAGCTCTGCTCACAGACCCGCCAAAACTATGCGCCACAATAGCCACACTTTCGGGCTGGGAGGGCATGATAATATGTTCCCATACGTAAGCGGCATGATTCATGGAATTGTCCAAGCCTTTAATCGGCGTACGCTTGCCCTTTATCATTCGTGTGGTGTCATTCGTATTGGTGACGAGTATATCATAGCCTAGTTTCTGGGCTCGCTGTATATAAGGCAGCTGTGTGCCGTGATCCAGGGAATTGTTTATAATCAATCTGAAAGTAATGATAAGAACTGTTTTATATCGATCTGAAAGAGTTTTAACTTGGATTTTAAATTTTAGTTGAACCAAATATTCTCATGGAGGATCTAGATACTTAGCAAATAAATTGATTAAAAGAGATTTTCTTATATATTTATGGCTTATTCTCTCTTTTTTAATTATTTTTTTACTACTCGTAACGTATTAATCGCCTTAAGCATTAGCTCAAGCCACAAAAAATCGTGATTCAGAAGCATTCAGAAGAAGAAGAATGTATGTATACTAGCAAGAATTATTCGACTTTGCGTGGCAAAATGATTTTCATTATATTTAAAATTGATTTTTCATCCATTTTTCAGCTGTAGTGTGAACATTTTGAAATCTGTAAACACGTGCTTTTTAAAAAGGAGTACTTGTCCCAAAAGGATTATTTTTGGGAAGATCATAATAAGCTCTTACGTAAATCTCCGGCAATCAAGGGTTCCGTCAGTTGGTCAATCAGTCAATCAATTCGTCAAACAGTCTAGAAGACTATTTTGTCCATTTTCAAGTTCATATATCTACCTCTGTCAATCAGCTGGTCATGCAGCCAGGATACCTACTGTACAAAATTTATCTTCTAACTCGCGTCAGTCTCGGTCAATCAATGAATCAGTAGGATTCAATCAATCAGTCCATAAGTCAGTTCGTCAACCAGTCTGGACACATATTTTATCCGTTTTCAAGCTTTTATGTCGTCCCGGTTAATCAATGATTCAATCAGTTGGTCAATCCGTCAATCAAATCGTCAAGCACTCTAGATAACAATTTTATCCGTTTTCAAGCTCATATATCGCTCTCTATCAAAAAGCTGGTCATGCAGCCAGAATAGCTCTCGTCAGTCTCAGAATAGTTTTAAGTATATCGAAAATATGTCTAGATATATATATATATGCATGCATGCATATTTGATACCTACCTTCTTGCCCATTGCCCGGCTAGCACATACCCACTGCCATGTATGAGCACAAGCAGCTTCTTTGACTGGGACAGCGGCTGCGGCTGTGAGAAAACGAATGTAGAATGCTCAATGGGCACGCCTTTGGGTATATAAGTCCTCTTTAATCCGTTCTTTTCCAGCAGTTCGTATATAATTTCTGGTATCTGATTGGCCAGCTGCTCGTAGTGCTCCTGATTCTTAGCCTGATTGTCAGTTACCTTAAACTCGTAGGGCTCCTCGCCGGGCTCTCCGCTGGTTTTGTCTATTTTGCGCAGTTGTCCAGCTGCAATCAAACACACACACACGCATATGCATACGTATAAAGTGAGTATGTAAAACCAGATAACTGTTAAACCTTGCAAATTCACCTTCATTGAATGCATATCCAAACTCCCGCAATCGCGCAATAGCTTCTTGGCAATTACTGGCACTTGGTTCCGACATGGTACTCTTCCTGCAGTTATATATGTGCCCTGTGGGAATAGATTGTATAGTATTTATAAAGCGCCTCCACATGGCGCATATTTATCGCGCGTCACTTACTTAATAAAAGCTAACTGTTCTCTTTCTGAAGACCGGCGTTTTTGAGTACTTTGGTCAGCAGCATCGATACTCACTGAGTAAATGCCGATACAGATGAGAACACATGATGAGGCGGTCTGCCGATATGTTCACATAAGAATTTTCGATAAATAATTATAAACCGGCAAATTTTAATTGCATATTATTATATTTATTCATGACTCTGTATTAAATTCTACGTTCTAGCTTCAGGAGCGGCGTAGTTGCTAGTTTAATGGTGACATTTTCAACAAATTGTAGATTTTTAAAATGAAAACTTGTGCTAAATTTGTAATTTCTCAGTAATTTGGCCAACGTCACTTTAATAGATAAAATACCATAACGCCAGCCTGAAATTTGAAATATATGATTTAAAATATGGATTTGTATTTCGTTTAATATACACCTCGCACCTATGCAGCTGCGCACACCCTTCGTGAAAGGTATAAAAGCATACGGATGCTTTTCCTGAAAGTTATGTGGCAGAAAGTGCTCGGGATTAAAGGAATCCGCGTCTGGTCCCCATATATCCTTGCTGCGTTGCATATGAAATATGTCAATGACAATTTGCATGCCTTTGGGTATACAAACGCCATTTGATAGCCGCACAGTCTTCGATGTTTGCCGTGCTACAAGCGGAACAGGCGCTATGAGGCGCATGCACTCACGCAAAACGAGATCCAAGTAAACCATTTGTTGGGTATCCTCGTAACTAACTGAAAAATCGCCAGCTTTGGGAAAGAGCGCTTGGATTTCCTCAAATACCTTGTCCTGGTACTCGGGAAACATGGCCAGCAGCATGAGCGTATTAGCCAGCGTCTTGGAAGATGTCTCAAAGGCGCCAACCACCAATATATTGGCCTCATCTTCAACATTCTGTCTGTCAAAGCTGCCGCGTTTGAGAAGTTCAATTGCCAAATTGAGAAAAGAATTCTTATTGCCTGTTGTCTCGTCCTGAATGTCTTGAGAGAGTTTCTTTTCCACCATCTGCAGGAAAATATATATAATTCGTTTATACCCAAGTTGGGCGTGTAACTTTTACCTTTCCGATAAACGATTTGATTTCTGTTTTTGCACTGAAATAATGCTCCTCTTTGCCCAGAAATTGCCGTACAATTCGTATATTGAGCCATGGGGATAGGATAGTGTCTGTCACGCATTCCTGCAGCCTAAATGCGAGTAGTGAATTCAATCAAATCAAATTTCTACTCTACTCACCATTCATAATGTGCCATTAGGGAACTGTTCTTAAAGCTCGGTTCTTCCTTAACACAAGTGCCCATTGTGGTTTCTGATTTTATCAAGGAACTTTTAAATGATTTTTAGTTAAGATAATTGCACTTACGCGTAGCTATGCTTAATGTAAAATGTTGCAGGCAAGGCAGTATATCCATCTCCCTGCCATCGGCCATTTTATCAAACTCTTTTAATAATATTGCCGTCTCGTCATTGAAAATGGGCAAAAAACTAAGCAAAACCTTGTGACCAAATGCGGGATTCAGCATTTTTCTATGTTCAGTCCAAAGAGGATCTGGAAGACGAAACTTAGCTGCTTTATAAATATGACAGTTATCATAACTGCCCACCTTTCATGTTTAATAAGCCCTTGCCCACAGCATCGTCGAAGATCTTATAAGGTAAACTTTTGTTCACACAATGCGGGGAATTTAGTATATCCTGCGTCACTTGAGGATCGCTGACAATTAGCAAAGGTAATGGACCCAGCCAAGTGACTAAAGTAGTGCCGTAACCCTTGATGTAAGAACCAAGCAGGTTAAGCAAGCCTATTGTACACAAGTTAGCATATTAAAATGCACTCAAGCCTTGTCTGAGGGTTACTTTACCTTCCTTATGCCGCAGCTTGTGCGCTATTCCGATTAGGGGATACCCTAGAGGACCTGGAAATTTCGCAAAAAACTTATAAAACTCACGACGCGACCACAGATAATAAGTTCCCAGCAAAGTTAACAAAACTAAACACAATATCAGCAAAATTAAATTCATGACTGATCTCTGAAGCTCGCGCGAACTGTACGATCTAACAAGCAAAAATACTTTAAATATCTCAACTTAAGCTGATCTCTTATATATGACCGTCAGACATTAGAACAATTAATTTTTTGCACATACAAATTTAATAGCTGTTGCACTTTTCATTATACCCTGAACCCATTAAAAATAGGTAAAATGTTATAATGTATTTGTGCAAATGTATGTAACAGGCAGAAGAAAGCAACTCCAACACCATAAAGTATATATATTCTTGATCAGCATCAACAGCCGAGTCGATCTAGTCATGTCCGCCTGTCTGTCCGTCTGTCCAAGGATCTTAGAACCTATATGAGCTAGAGACTGAAAAACTTGCAGAACTAGATTTTTTTCTGATAATCGATAACTTCTCCCGTTTCCAAGCAATCGATAAGAATCGATATAGTCTCGTAAGTTATAAGAGCTGGGGTTACAAAATTTGACATGTAGCTTCTTGAAGAGTATATGTATATCAAGTCTTTCATTTTATAGCTATCGCCACTTTCCCGCTACCACCACATAGCTACAAATCAAATAAATAAACCAATTTAAACTGCTAGGGACTTGAAATTTTAGCTGTAGGTCCTCCTAATGCCCGCGCAGATCGAGGTTGTTTCCGATATTCGATAACTTGCCCCATTTCCAAGTAATCGATAAAAATCGAGCAATTTGATCAATTTCGGCAAATAATATGAGCTAGAGTCACCAAACTTGACATGTAGCTTCTAGACTAGTATACATATATCAAGTATCTTTCATTTTATACCTATCGCCACCTCCCCGCTACCACCGAAAAGCTATAAATCAAGTTAATTATCCAACTTGTATTGCCCATCAATTTAAGCCACAATTTATATGCAATTGACTTTTTGAGAATACACAAATATTCAATATTCTATTCTACAATAAGATGTACTGACGAAAATTTCATTAAGATCGGTTAAGAAACACAAAAGTTATATGCGCACGTGTTAGCAGAATAGCTGCTGCGCAAATTCCAAGAATTTCTGTACATGTACACACACATACATTCATGCGTGTTTGCTTTGAATTCTATCAACAGCATTGCAATTGCGATTGTATTGTTTTCTGTGCTGCTATTTTAATTGGTTTTTTCTCATTAAAGCTCAATTATTGGTGTGGCCCTTGAGTAGAGGCAGCGGCAAGTGGTGCGGCTGGTTCCGAGCTCAAACCCTGCCAAGGGAAGAATTTCTAATTTTTTTTTTATTTTTCTTTACTACTACTAAATCAAACGAGCGCGTAGCGCGATCTGCATTTGGTGTTGAAAGAAGAGGGTTCAGGGTATCCCCTAGTCGGGAGCTCCCGACTAGAACCTCTTACTTGTTTTTATTTAGTGCCTATAAGCACACTCATAATATATGTATTTTTTCTTTGGAGTTTTTTCCATTTTAACAACAAAGTATAATACTCTGAGCGTCTACCTTTAATAATCTTCAAGTTATGCTTAAAAATGAAGACAAAAATCGATATTTATTGATTTTGAACATTCGAATAAATTCAGTTTAATATCTGTTTTGTAATTATTTCTGTACCAGTTGCAAAACCGTTTTTATCCAATTTCAACACATGCATTGTATAAAACGCGATTCTGCCAAGTTTCAAAGTGTTAAATAAATTTAACTTTATTTTTCAAAAGCTACGCTTAACAATAATTTTCAAAAAATTATGTTGAAGTTTCAATTTATTGGCGCCTAAGAACAAGAAATCCAATTTAAAATCGATTTCTTTAAAATGTTGAATACTTTGTAATCGAACTATTCTACAATGGAACTTTTAAAGTGACTCGCAAGTCAGCTGTTTTATGTTGTTGGCAGGTATCGAAATTTAATCGCTGGAGGAATCATAACATCCATTGTACTCAAACGAGCAAAATCGAACTTTATAAAGCAAAGCTTGCTCCATTTTGAATTGCTGCCGCTTGAAAAACGATAAGCAATCAGACAGAAACGATTTATGCAGTGAGTATTTGACTCAGTTCAATAGAACTTGCTATCGATCTATCGTAGATAATCATTGGCCAGTCAGCTGATTTGTGTTGTTGGCAGTTATCGATATGTCGTCATTCGTGGAAACTAAACAACAGAGCCAAAACGGACACATCACATAAATTAAGCTGGCTGCATCTACAGCCTTTTCGCTGCCACGCTGCCAAAATTCGAAGTTCTAAATGCAAAGCACGACGTACGGATTCAGGGATTTGGAAAACTCACCGCGCACCATGCATATGCGCGACTGGCGTTCCGCCCTGCGTACGCCAACCTATCGAATTGGCAATCGCACAGTTCGCTTTAATTATCATTTTGCATTGCTTGTGTTTTGTGCTTGTATCCTCGCGCTGCTCTTTCTATATGCGCGCCAGGGCAGTCGCAGCTCCTCCGATGGCTATTGGCTGCGCAGCCGTTATGCCAGCCAAGAAAACGCCGCCTCCCTAGCCACGCCCTACAATACAACATATCCACTGACGCCGCCGTTGAGCGTGCAGGGCGGCGTTATCAGCTATCGCATCGCCATGATAGCAGATCTAGATACCAGTTCGAAAATTATCAAAGGCGATGGCAGCACAACGTGGCGCAGTTATCTCAAGAAGGGCTATCTCACGTATCTGCCCAAAAAGCAGGAGATACAAATTAGCTGGGACGACGGTGCGCCCACGGCGCTGGAGTCCTCGTTTGCGCTGAAGGATCGCGGCATGGAGCTCTCCGAGCTGGTCACATTCAATGGCAAACTGCTCAGCTTCGATGATCGCACCGGGCTCATCTATGAGCTGGCCAATGACAGGGTCATACCCTGGCTAATACTGCTCGATGGCGATGGCCACAATGCGAAGGGCTTCAAATCGGAGTGGGCAACCGTGAAGCAGCACACGCTCTATGTCGGCTCCATGGGCAAGGAGTGGACAACGGGCATGGGTGAATATCAGAATAATAATCCCATGTACGTGAAGGCCATAAGCACAACGGGCGAGGTGCGCTCCCTCAACTGGGCGGAGAACTACAAGCAGCTACGATTACAATCGTTGCAGATCAACTGGCCCGGCTATATGATACACGAGAGTGGCGTCTGGTCGCCGGTGCATCAGCGCTGGTACTTTCTGCCACGTCGCTGCTCCAAGGAGAAGTGAGTGGCCGCTGCTCAAATCGTTTTATTATCTTTGATTCAATTGCTCTTCTCCGCAGATACAACGAAACCTTGGATGAGCACATGGGCTGCAACATACTAATCTCTGCGGATGAGCATTTTACGAGTATAGACACGATTAAATTGGATGCCGCCAATACGGTGGCCACACACGGCTTCTCCAGCTTTAAATTTCTGCCCAATACAGAGGACTCCATTATTGTCGCGCTCAAAACTGAGGAGCTCAATGGCAAAACGTCCACATTTGTGACGGCCTTCAGCGTGGAAGGCAAAACCTTGTTGCCCGAGACTCGCATCGAGACGGACTACAAATACGAGGGCTTCGAGTTTATTTAGCGAAGCGTCGCTGCTGTGTTTTTCAGTGTATATAGTGTATTATCTGATATATATAGTCAAGTTTATCTATAGTCAGCTTTAAATATAGTAAGCTTAAGTTATGTCTGTTAAGAGATGCTCATAGACCAATGCCATTCATACTAACGCTGTTTAACATACTCTGTTTACCATGTGACAAAAGGGGGTATATTAGTTGGAGCTATGTCTGTCTGTCCGATTGAAAATTTCTTTTATTATTTTTGCATATATTGCATATGCTTATTTATCTATCAAAGGCAGACTCGAATTAAGTATATTCACGTACAGGGAAAACTCTGCTTACGTACACTCCTTTTAAGCGGACAACTCCCCTGGCCGAATATTTCTTCTCAAATCATATTTTTATATACATACAATTTATAGATTCGGCTCGACGCCGTCCGCCCAATCAGTTCTCACTGTAGTGTGTTTAGATAGTGTTATCAAATTTGACAGGTACATGATTGACAATTTCCTTTAAATTGATGTTCTTAAAGTTTTAATATACAACAAAATTGAAATTTTATAAACACAAAAATAGTTCTTACCCAAACTGATCATCAGGCTAATTGTTCCTATAGGTTCTGTATGATATAGTAGTCAGCTGTTGACAAGAGCTTGTTGTAGGTAAAGAACGATATAAAACTCGCAATGATAAATAAAATGTTTGGTCTGGCTAGTTTAAAAAAAAAACAAGTTTTTCACAAAAGAACTTAATTTTCAGCCGATCATTCCTATGATAGCTATAAGATATAGTGTTCCGATCGGGCCAGTTCTCACATGCCTCCAATACAAATACGTATCTATGCAGTTTCATCAAAATATTTTAAATTATCTCATAGCAAATTAAATTATCTCATCTAGAATATATATACTCTCATGGACTGGTAAACAGAGTATTGTGCAGCGGCTTGCCAGCGACTGGAAATTATTTTAAAATTTTGTGACAAATTTGGAATCTTGTATTTCATACGCAGCAAATGCCAATTCGTATTTATTGTAATGCATTACGTGTTTAACAGAGATAAAAACTTGAAAACTATCACACTGCTAGGATCTAGCTACATTATTTATACTAATTGCCGATTCCAGACCTGCCACAACCAAATCTTCATTCTCGATGCGACCCTCGCTGGCGCGCACCTCTAAGCGATCCGCATTGTGATTAACATTCCATAGCTCGGGCAAAAATCTTGGCTGCATCGTGCGCAGAAAATGCTCCCGCCACAAACGTTCCAGCTCCACGAGGCCCCCAAATTTATCGCGATATATTTGCACCACCTTCTTGCCATGCTGGCAATATGACTCATTGGCCACACGGCACTCCAAGTCGGCGGCTTTTTGCAGCAGCTCCGGCGTTATTTCGGTGGTGTCTGTGTAATAATCCAAAAGGGTTTTTTGCAGCTGTGCGACTTTTTGGCTCGGTATGCGATCGCTCTGCGACAGCAGAGCCTTGCCAGCGCTCTTGACGTTTCTGGAGAGAATCACAAGCAGTTAGAATAGATGCTCCAGCAAACCGAGTTTCGGCTCGAACTTTTCGAGTTGCAGACTCGAGCAGTTCGAACCTAGTTCGATGCAAATGAACTAACCAAGACAACTCACCTGAGCTGCTGGTCATCATGGTACTTGGAGACGCCCTCGCCATGGCTAAAGGGCGCCTCGCATGTGGACGCCAGCTTGTTGCGTATCTTGTTATCCGATATATTGCTCAGCTGATGACAGCTGGGACAGAGCAGGAGTATGTCGTGGGATGTGTGCGATTTCATGACAACGGGAAAATGTTTGCGATATTCGCGTGGCACCACATTCTTCCGTATATAGGCATCCCGCCGCCCGCAGACCACACACTGGTTCTCTTTGGGCGTCTGATAGTAGCGACCCACATCTCCGACCGCGCGACCCGCCGGCTCAAAGTTGAGGCGCACCGTAAAAGGATTCTCGCTTATTTGTGTGCCCAGGTTCTGATTTAAGTACCAGGAGGCCTTGCGGCGATCAATGGTGCAGAGCAGTTCGCCATCCGGCGCCTCCAGCACGCAATTGTCATAGAAGGCTTTCGACAGAGTGCACAGATTGCGCACTTGCTGCTGCGGCTGTTGTTGTGGCTTCTTGTTCCTCTTGTGCTTGGCTTTGCCTGTCAGCCGGCTGCTGGAATTGTCTGTTTCTGATTTGCCCAGGCCCGCAGCTAAGCCTTTGGTAAAGTCCACGTCTAAAAATGGCTCTATTTTTGGACGCAGCTGCTCGAATTTGGGCTGACGCCAATCCCAAAATGTACGCGGCTCTAAATCTCTGGAAAGCTTTTGAAATATGGCCACAGCGGCGAGGGCATCATTGGCCGCATAGTTAAGCTGTGCGGCCTCCAGCTGTGGCGCCTCCCAGTTGGAGCAGGCCAGCCGCCAGTTCTTGTCCAGCACATAGTTCAGATGTGTCTGCGATAGCTTGCCCAGACCCTCCGCCGGATGCCCCGACATAATGGCCATGTAGCGCAAATCGAGGGTGCTGGCGACGCCGACGCCAAAATCATGCGATAGCTTCATGGCATCATCTTGCGGTGCCACGCCCACCTTGATAACGGAATCATCCTCGAGCAGCTCACGCAAATCCCTGGGTATTTGCTTCATGCAGCACAGACGAAAGAGCGCACAGAGACCCTTGTGCGAGCTGAGTTGGAGCAGGGCCACCGGCCTGCGTGTGCCGCCCACAGTGATCCATTCGCAGTCAAAGCCCAGCACCTTGAAGGACTCACAGTGGCTAAAAATGGTTGGGTTAACCAGGTGTGAAACTCCGTTTAAGCCCGTGCCCACTCACCTCTTCAGCTCGTTTAGAATACGTTGCGACTCGTTCACCGAGGTGATAACCTCGATACGTTTGTGCTGCAGCTGGAGGGGACTGCGGCAGAGCGTTTTCCATATGTATTGCCTCTGCCGCACGAGCACATATACCAAGCCCAAGCTGGCGGCAAGCAGAGCCCAGCGCTTTGTGTTGTTGGCGGTTTGGCTGTTCATGGCAAGTCGAAGTCGAAAAGTGTTGATGAAATTACAAAATATATCGAAATTACAATAAACTACGGCCCCGATAGTCCGATAAAGAATGTTAGAGCTGCCTACACGACTTGCCGCCAAACAAAAATTTGAAAAGCTATCACAATTATTTTTAAATGGCACACTGCTCTCAAGCTCAGACTTCGGACTTCATGATATAATAAGTTTCTTTTTTTTTTGCCATATTTGAATTACTATCACATTGCGCACTCTGTTTACATTAATTGTTATCGCTGTTAACCCAACGATAGCTGCGCTGCTCATTAACATAACTTTCTGAGCTTTGGATTATATTTGCAGCACGTTGGCGGTTCTGTTAAACAGCACTGTCGCCAACAGCAACGACAGCTGTTAATTAATTTGCAAAAATTTGCTCGTGCTTCAATCAAATGTTTGTGTATGAAAAACTATTAATTAAATTTTTTAACAACAAATAATAATGAAAATAATCACAGTCAGTCATGTTAAGTTAAGAAATGCTGCATTTTAGCAGCCGCAGTTAATTGCATTTTGCCTAAAACGCTGCAACACGATTGAAAAATCGATTTTTCCAAAGCAATCAAAAAATAACAGGTAACATAATTTAATAACGGCACTTTGTAACGCCTCGTTTGCTAACCTAATTAAATGCTTGCAGGATGTGCCAGTAAATTAAATAGTAGACTAGCATCTTAGAAAGCGGCACAATGCCAGAGAACTTGGAATTGCATCAGTTTGTGGATGGCACACGTCCGGGCGATATATCAAATCAATGGCTGGAACGACTTAAAACGCGCGTAAATTGCCCATATTTGGGCATTATACTGGCCACGCTCTCATCGCTGTTCTTCTCGCTATGCTCGGTCATAGTCAAGGGCCTGGTGGATGTCAATCCCATGGAGCTGGCCTCGTTCCGTTTTGTGGGCGTGCTCCTGCCGGCCATACCCATACTCATCTATACCAGGCAGCCGGTATTTCCAGAGGGCAAACGCGTCATCCTGCTGCTGCGCTGCTTCATGGGCACCACGGGACTGATGCTCAGCTTTTATGCCTTCCGCCATATGCCGCTCGCCGATGCCAGCGTCATCATCTTCTCCACACCTGTGTTCGTAGCCATATTCGCACGCGCCTTCCTCAAGGAGCCCTGCACGCTCTTCAATGTGCTCACCATCAATATGACGCTGCTGGGCGTGGTGCTGATAACCAGGCCGCCGCTGGTCTTTGGTGATGCGAACCGCCCCGCGGTGGATAATGAAAAGTATTCGGATAAGACATATGACATCTGGGGACCAGTTGCTGCCATATCATCTACACTGTTTGGTGCCAATGTTTATATATTGCTGCGTGCCCTCAAGAATCTGCACTTTTCGGTGATCATGACGAACTTTGGAGCCATTGCCCTGGTCTATACACTGATTGTGTGCGGCTCGATTGGCGCCGTCTGCTGGCCCAGCTGTGGACGCGATCGCTGGCTGGTCGTCGTGCTGGGCATCTTTAGTTTTCTGGGTCAAATCCTGTTGACGCTCTCGCTGCAGGTGGAGCAGGCGGGTCCGGTGGCAATTGCCCGCTGTGCCGACATTGTGTTCGCATTTATCTGGCAAATCCTGTTCTTTGGCGAGGCACCCAATGCGTATTCGTTGTGCGGCGCCCTCATGGTCGTCAGCTCGGTTATTTTGACGGCCATGAAGAAGTGGGCCATGACTTTGCCCCGGGAATCCTCGCTGCGCAAGCGTTTCCGTCTCATTCTGCTGGAGTAGACCAACTATTAGCTGTAGTTGTAGTTAATTCGAATGCTTTAGGTATGTAAGTGGTTTCTCAACATTTAAAATCCAATTTTCATCGGGCATCGGGGAACAATGCTCAAAAACTAATACGATAAACTAATTCATACACGGTTTAGACTTGGATTATTAAAAAGCTCAGCTTATTATACAGAAATAGGCGCATTATATACTCACTCACATATTTAACATAAGCATAAAGTTTTAAAGTTCGAGCGTGATACTCATACCATCTTAAAAAGTATTCATACATATGACTATGATATATATACACGTATAACTCTAATGTTTTAGTTTAGCCAAATTCATTGACTTGTTGTTTTGTACATTGTTATACATGCTTACACTAAAGTATTTCGAAGAAAAAAAAAACTAATTAATAAATACAAATTGTGAAAAAGTAAAAGCCGGTAACAAAAATTTAAATTTGTGAAGTGTTTGCAGTTTCTTAAATTGTGGACAGGGGGCGCTGCGTAGGCAACAGCTGTTACCTTTCGATACTTGCCTATATGCAGCATCTAAGGTACTCAAAGATAACATGCAATTAACATGGCGCAACCTCGAATTATATCTAGTCCTGTTAGGAGCGCGTCGGCGCCATCGGTTAGCACATCCCAACGCAAATATTACACAAAGTATATAGTCACATTTTTACCATAATTTGAAGATTTGAAAATGCCAGATTTACAAATGCAATAAGAGAGCGTTACATTAGCAGCTGCGTCAATAGCAGCTGTTTAATACATGTAAAAACAGATAGTGCTTGTGACGTCATCCGCTTTTGTGAGGGCATCTTGAGCAGCATGCAATTCATGTACTCAAAATTAACATTTGCTTAACATAGTGTAACCTTTCAGTGTATTAACTTTGCTAACAGCGCGTCGGCGCCACCGGTTGCCACAACAAAACCCAAATGTACTTGAAACGCGACAATTACTCAAAACAAACAAACAAACACGCAATTTGCCGGCGAGAAAAATAATTGAAGTGAAATCAACCAATTTGCAGTGTGAAGGTGAATACATAGTGTGCCTTGAACTTACATATGTCGATAATATAATTATATTTAAATACATTGAAAAAAGGAACACTACGCAAACAGTAAACAAACACGTTGTACATTCGATTCTTTTTTTACTGGGGAGCAGCAGCTGTTTTTGTTGTTGTGATTAATGCGCCTAGAAACCCAAATCGGCAATTACCGCATCCAGTTCGTCCTGCAGATTGGTGGCCCTGGAGCGCACCTGTGAAATTTGATCCTGCAAATTGTCCACATTTGCCTGCAGCAGCACATTGCATTTCTTCATTGCCGCAAAGCGACTCTCGTGCTTCTTCACGCGCGGCTCCAAATTGCATTTCTTGGCGGAATTGGCGGCATCCTAAGGAGCAGAGGTAAACCGTTATATATATATAAATACATGCATATAAGTTAGCAGATATTGTTCGGCATTGCCCGGACCACCTTTTTTCTGCTAATTGTATCAATTCAATCATTTACCGCACGCTTATGGCGGTTCATCAATCAGTCAGTCAATCATTTCAATCAATTATCATTTGTATAAGAAGATGCATCGCATATGGTGTACTTACTTCCGCTTCGGATTCGCTGCCCGATTCCTCTTCGCTTTCTTCAGATTCCGATTCGTCTGACTCCTCCTCGGACTCTGCCTCTTCTTCCTCGTGCTCCTCTTCGGCTGCCTCTTCATCATCCTTGTCCTCGGCATCGACTTCGTCTTCGTCCAACTTCATCGATGCAGCCATCTTTTGCACCTCCTTCTCCAGCTTTTTGAACTTTTTGTTCTCCTCTCTGCAAGGAATCTATTATGAGCGCAAACTCTGCAATTGATATTAAAACATGGCCGCCCTACTTGAGTATAACATGATTCTTCTTCATGGCCTGCTTCAGTGCATCCTTCTCCTTCTTGGCGGCCTCCTCCTTGACCTTCAGCTTGGTCAGCTTACTGCGCAGCACCTTCACCTCTTTGCCCATTCGGCGCTCGCGTCGTTCTGTCTTCTTCTCCTCGGGCTCGTCGGGATCGCTTTCGCTCATCTCCAGCTCCAGTTCAGGGGAGCTGTCGCGACCGAAATGCGCATCGCTTGGTCTTCTGGAGCCGTCCACTGAGCTGCCGCCCTACATTCACAATAGATGGATGGATTAGGCAAACATCTCTCCAAAGGCAACGCCTGACCGAATGCATCTGTGGGCATTACCTTGTGATTGGTCACCCTCGCACCGTAGTAATCATCGTCTTCGTCCTCGTCGTCGTCGAAAGCAAAGCGAAAACTAATATGCGGTCTGTTAGTGCTTGGAGTCGTATTTGCCTTATATAAATAGCGATTGCGTTGGTTAAATCGGTTAATGTTTTTAGTATGCGGGATATAGAATAGAAGCAAAAGCGTTGTCTTTGTTTGTCTATTTGAATCGATTTTCTTAATATTACAATATCTAATCTTCATTTGGGAAACCCATCTTGTGTTTTTGTGTGTGAGAAGTGTGCATAACACCTTGAAGACTGCGAAGAAGGGAGGTTGAGATAAGCTTGAGGCATCAATCATATATTGAGCCTTATCTGCAGCTATGAAAATCGCATAGAAAAGCGACTCTTAAAAGAGAAGAAAGCAAATTCAAAGGAAAGAACATCGGGGGAGGGCAGAGGGAAAGTGAGATTAAATAATAAGATGTGCGGAGATTGAGAGAGCAGGGAAGGCATGTGAAAGATAGAAAGATGGGAGAAGAGGGAGCCAAAGAAAAATAAGAAAAAACGAGGCAGTGAATGAGAGAGAGAGAGATGACGACTGAGCTGGAAAAGGTCTTGAAAACGTACAAATTGAGACAAAGAATCTGGCTAATTGCCGCTGCAGATATCAGTAACCCGCCCACATCTCAGCAGCCCCTCCACACAAATGTCTCAAGAATGTGTGTCGTGTTGTCAGCTGATGTGTAATTATTTATCGTAGGTGCTGCTACAACTACAACAACAACTACAAAAAAACTACAGTCAATGCGAAAGCGACTAATTGCGATTGCTTTGTTAGCTGGTTTTTTAGAATTTTTTCTTTGGTTTTTTTAGGCTGAGCTATCGCTCGGGAGGCGGCGGCGCAGACGGCGCTGAAAATGTGCGAGAACAGGTGGATATGTGTGGGTTATGACCCCAGCTAGAACTTCAACTGACAACACACGGCATCTTCTACTGTCTAGTGCCACGCCCACAGTTGTTAGGGTGGCTAGGGGGGGCGCCCCGACGGCGCTGTCGCTTACCTGCAGCGCAGCTGCCAATTTGCGCTCAAGCAATTGTATCTGTCGCTTTTGTTCCTCGATTTCCGTTTTCGCCTCGACAAGCAGCTCGCTTGTGTCATGATAGTTCTTTTCCACCTCCTTGGACACCTTGCGCGCATCCTCGACTTCACGTTTTAGGGAATTGACGTACGCCTGCTCGGAGGTGGGCGTGGGATCCATGGTGGCCACAATAACATTCGAGCCATATTCCAGATTCTTTTCGCGCGATTTCTCACGCTCCAGCTCCGTCTCGAGTGTGCGTATTTTGGCCAAGAGCTTTTTATTCTCCCGCTCCTGGGCCTCACGATTGCGCAGCTCAAGGGCCAGCATTTGCTTGGTGCTCTGCAAATCGTCGCGTATCTTGTCAATGTCGTCCAGCTCATCAGGACTCTCCTCGTCTATGGACATGGTGGACACTATGCTCGGCCTCGAGCTGCCCGCTCCGAGCGCTGTGGCACTGTTCGGACCCAGCGCATTGCTGCTGGGCGCCTCGCTCAGCATATTGACCTTTGACTGCGACTTGTGCAGCTGCTCCTCGATGGTCATCTGGCGGCGGAACTTGCGCAAACCCCCCAATATCGGCTTGCTGCGATCGTTTGTCTGTGTGGGACGCAGCCTTACGCCGCCCTGAATCTGCTTGAGCAGCTTATTATGCGAATTATCCTTCTCTGTCTCATAGATGAATTTGTCATCCACTTTGGTCATCGATTTGCATGTCAATATGGGCTGAGATCTAAAGGAAACAAAAAATAATGAAAAATGAATCTTTGCGTATATATTTGCATTATATTTACAATAATCTTTTGCGCTCTCAGTATTTTAATATGGTTCATTCTTTAAATTACAAAATTTTCGACAAGTTTTAGAGAGTTATCCAAGTTTTTTCTTGGGTTCGAATAATAGAAAAGGATTTAATGCACATTTTAATATCCTTTTCTTTTGAAATTTAGTATCGCAAAATTTTATTTGAATTTGATTTTAGGCATTAAAATCTGTTAATTAGATATCATTAAGGAATTTGTGATATTTTGTCACGAGATTCTCTGCAAAAGGCCTTCAAATTGACTTTTTTATCCCCAATGTGTCCCATTTTTTGGATCTAATCAATTAGATTAAAATTTAGCACGCTAAATTGTTATTTTTATCGTTTTGTGGTGTATTTTAAGTTATTTAGGTTGGTTTTATATTAAAACTTATTTCAAAAATCATAATAATGTTAACTTTGAAGGATTTCCGTCTTTTAGTTAATTAAGGTCGAAGCTCTTTAGCTAAAAATGTTGTTGTCTGTGGAAAAAACACACAGTAAATGGACTCTGACGCTTGTAATTCTGAACAAGTTAAAGCCTCAAGCGTGCCAAAGGGCCTGCAATCCTAGAGTTGATAGCAAAGTCTGCGCATGATGGAAGCAGGAAGTTTTTGATATCGTATGCAGCCAACCTGCTCAAATTTGTATAAAAAATAACCAACTTTAATCGTTTCAAACTTTTATAACTTTGTGAAAAGTGTGGCGTGTTTCCCTAGATTTATAACTTGTGGGTTTTCCTTTGAGTTCTAGATTAAATTGATTTCTGTATAGAATTAATTGGTTGGGATAAAACCCTTTTTATTTGCCAGTTATTTGCCACAGCTGCACTTGAAACGACTCCATTTGCAATCGATTGTGAGCGAACTGGAGCCATTTATTTATATAATGGCTAATGAGCTGCTCACCTGTCGTTGCATGCCACGTGACGCAGCTTCTTGCCGCTCTCCACCTCCTTCATCATCTCGGACCAGTCGGGACGTCTGCGTGGTCGTGTTCTGTGCAAAATGAAATAAATGATGGCTTAGCTGAAAGCAACCAGGAGCTGCGCTTGGCCACTTACTTGAGCTTCTCGATCGTTTTCTTTTGCGTTTCGCTCAGCACCCGCTTCTCACCCGCCGTCAATGGCGGCGGCGGCGGTGGCGGCGCCTTTGGCACCAACGAGGGCAGCGGCGGCGGTGCGGGAACTGCAAAAAAATAAAAAAATATATGTGGAGTAAACGGTTAGCTGTGTGCTTAACTGTGTGTGGGGTGGAATTGCAGATGAATGGTCGAGCTTTTATTTCAGCTTTTTTTAGAGTTGTTTTTTAGCTTGTTTTTATTTTAGCGCATAAATCGTTTAGCGCTGCGTGCACTCGCGTTTATTAAATATAATTTTAATTTAATGAGTTTGCAATTTGTGTCAGTTTGTTGTTTGCGCCAAGTTTGCCCCGCTCCCACTCTCTACCGCTCCCTCTTTCAGCTGCAGGCCATACATATCAATTGAGTTTAGTCTAGGATTGTGGGGCTCGTTGTGTGTGCTTGTGTGGAGGGGGGGGGGGAGGGAGAGGGTCTTTCCTCTACATTCCAATTCGTGTGTCTGAAGTTACACTGCATTGGCAGAGATTGAAAAGTTACTGCCGTGGCGCCAGATCTACCCACGTAGCTGAGCAGCCCCACAACCCAATTTGTTTTATTGCCTTAACACCTCCTGCTTCGCAAACCCCCTCTTTTCCCTTTCTCCACACACAACCCCCCACTGGCAGTCGGCTAAAACTTTGATTGCATTTTTTATACACTAGCAACGGGTATTGTAAATCTGTCTGGAAATGTGTTTTGCATAGAAGCAGGACACATCAATCGAGGAGTCGTAATAGTTCGTCTGTCCAATTAAAAAGCTGCCTTAAAAACTATCTTTTTGCAGCTAATCAGTCTATAATTAAGTTCTGCTTGAAACTTGAACTAGACATTCAAGGAATAGGGCTGTATTAATATGTAAAATATGTGAAAAATCCTGCCAGCATCGCAACACGTTATCATAAAGCGGCCATCTAGCATATAGATATATATGTACATCTAAGCTATCGATCGAGAATTATGCTTATATCAAATCCTATCATAAGAAATATCTTTCATTAATTTGCATGCGATAGTTTGAAATAAAAATAAAAATTAAAGTTTTATAATCCGTTTTAAGCCCAACCGGTTGGTAACTGGATATCAAATTTATTTTCTACTGTGAACCGAATACGAATACAAAATCAATGAACACATAATTTTTCTCAAAACTTTTCATTTTTTCAAAATAACCTTTGAGGGAGAGTCAATCCCAAAGCAAAAATGACTTCGACAGTCTTTTAGAAAGTAGACTGGCAGCTGTGGTTCTTATGTATATCATATAAATTCAAGAATTTTAATATGACTCAAATGTATTCAAAAATATTTTTAGACAAATTCCACCCGCACATGTGAAATATGAAGGGAAAAAAGCTGCAAACTCATTTCTTACGTAAAATTCGCATATGTCCCATAAAGCTAGGGCATTTAATCTTCGTTTTTTTCTTTTTGGTAGTTTCTGCCTTATGTGCGTTTCGCTTGGCTCGCCTTTGGTTCGGGTTTGGGTTTTAGTTTCAGTTTAGTTGGCTTAAAGTCTGTGATGCGCTTTTGCCGGCACACATTTTTGGTTAACTGGGCCCAATTAGCTTGTAATGTTTGCTGCCAGCTGTTTCGTAACGTTGCTCCAATAAATTTCCGCTTAAATTGCTGGCCTAACAAGTTGCCAAGTTCCACAAATTTACCATTCTTTCACTTTCAAGTTCGGCCTTGTAATTAGCAATTGAGCGAGTTTACTTTTATTTTTTGTACACAAATATATATGTCTATATATATAAATGTGTATGTATGTATGCCCGTATCGCTTGGGCACACTTTGTGTACAATACTTTGCATTCTTTGCAGATACTTTCAGAGTTAAAACCCTGAAACCCCGAGTCGCCCCCGCAGGTTGCTGACTTTTCTTTGTTGTTGTTAAAAAAGTGCAGAAGTCAAACAACTGCTTAAGACAATGGCCGTGCGCGCGCGAGCGCCAAGTGATGAAAAGCTGACAAATCTGTTAATTAGCTTTGTTTGAATGAACCCAGGGCAAAAACACCTCTTCACCCTCCCCTGCCCTGCTCCAAAACCATTTTGTAACTCCCTTTCGCTGCTATCCTTTTGTCTGGCCTGTGTGTCTTCTTTTTTTTTGTGCTTTGGGCTTGCTCGCTCGACGCGCCCGACTGAATCTGCACTTAATCTTTAAGTGCTTGGCTGCCTCTTTGTGGTGCATTAGATGCTGCTTCTTATTACTCCTATATATAAGTATATATAAATATATATATATATATGTATATATATATATCTATATATGTATATACTTTGTGTGTGCTCTGCACCTGGGCTTTGAAACTAATCCCGAACTCGTGTTACTTTGGCTCAATGAAATCAGCGCCAAACTTGATTATTGTCTGGCAGTTACCCGGCTGCATGTTAATGTCCCTGTGCACCCCAACTGCTGACTGCTGGGTCCTTGTCTTTTTTTGTTGGCTGCCATTTGTAGTCAATGATTAAAATACGTGGTCAACTTTTTGGGCAGCCAATTGAGCGCTCGTTTAGTAAGTTTCGCTTAATTCGTTTTAGTAATTTATGGCAAAGCTCTGGCAAAAGCGGCTACCTAAATCTGTGCACACACCCGCACACACACCCGTCCACACACACCCACCCGCACACCCGCACACACTCTCTCACAAACAAAAAAACTTACCCAAACTTGGGCACCCGTGTAGCCCAGATAAAACTCTTCATTCATTCATTCATGTCGACAAAATTATTTCTTATTTAAATAAAATGCTGAGCAGCATCGTCTCTCGAGTTGATGCTCCCACTTAATATACCGCAAAAGCCCGCACTTACAACGACGCCAAAATGAATAGCGGGGTATGTAAACATAAATTTTGTGTAGCCCCAACCTAAACCACCAGCCCCCACCCGGTCGTCAGATCTTCTTGTTACTCTCTCCTTCTCCTTCTCCTTCTCTCTCTCCTTACCCATATTGTGTTATCATCAACTGAGAATATTCTATGCATGCACAAATGTTGCCGTTGTCATTGAATCACGCTGTGCGCCGAGCGCTGAGCTGGCCCCACTCCAAGCCCAAGCTTGGAGGGGGCATTAGCATGGACTCCACTTTGATGACTGACTTTGTTCGCCATTGTCTGAGCTTTTCTGGCATGATGAAGCGCTGCGCGGAGAGTCTGCCATATTTTACAGTCCCCAACCGTACTGGCAACAACTGACAGCCCCTAATCCCAGTCGGGCTGCAGGCGCCTGATTAACGTTTTTCATCTAGTTAATAACTATGTATTGCCAGCTCATTTGTGGCCAACTAACCACACTAGGCAACATGGTAACTGTTTTAAATAAGCGCTCACAATTGCACTATTAAAGGCAGTTTTCATAATGCCCTTTTAAAGTTTCCTGAAATTTTTACTGAAGCTTTCTCTTGGGTTGAATGTGAGCTCTAAGATGAGCTGGTCAATATTAGCTGGAAAAATGTAACGTTATGAGCCTGTGTGGCTTATATGGCTGAGTGTTGAACCGGCAGGCGAGAAGATGCCGGTTCAAATTACAACAGAAATTAAATTTCGTATACGTTGAGCGCCTCCGGCAATAAACTAATAATAGCTTCATTTAATACCTAATTAATTATTTCAGCAATTTTAAGCCTCTGTTTTGTGAATTTCACATCTAAAAAGCTGTTTGTGCATTCTACACATTTTAATGCTGGCCATGTTGGGGTCAATTTGGTTGTCCGCTGGCTATTTATAATTTCGAAAACGTAAAGCGATATTAAATATCAGCACTTTCCAGTTCATAAAACACATGTCACAGCATATGCATCGGCGTAGAAGCGCGCAGTCTTTACAAATTATTTGGACATATGCGTTGCAATTATTTATTTAGTGGACCATATGAATGTCGTTCAGTGTAAATATTGGCAAAGTGAATGCGTCATGACCAAATTTGAATTGGCCTAATCATCTTTTATGCCCACCAAAAGAATCCCCAACCAACCCCCAAAAGCTGCACCTATTGAAAGTTCACATTTCTAATGGCAGCTAAAAACGTAGCAAATAAAAAATGAAAAAAAAAAGAGAATATAGCACAGCCGCTACATGTTCTCACACACACACACACGCACACATCTATATAGATGTAGCTATATAGGGCAGGCTCATTTAAATAAAAGAATATATATATATATATAAATTTTTTGTCCATCCGCTTGTCCTTTGAAGACATTTACTGAGGCTTTGCGGCCGCCTTATTTTTTATATATTTTTTTTATTTTTGTTCGTTTTTTCGTTTGTTTTTTTTTAGTGCGTATATTTGAATATAAATGGCGCATTTAGTTCGACTATATCAAGCACATGGCCATATATCTTGGCCAGCTTTTGTCCTTAAGAGTACGAACAGTTACTCTGTGTTCCCTGTCCTTGTTCCCATCTATTGATAGTTGTTGGCTTTAAGGCCGCTTGAGAAACAAAACAGAAACCATCTACGAAAGTGCCTTTTCCACTCATCTATCCTCATCTGGTTTTAAACATTCCACTTTATGTTGTAGTTTTGACACAATGAGCAATAATCATGAATTTTACTTAGACCATAAAAAGAGAGATGAAAACACCCAGAAAGTCGGCCCAAGACGTCGTCCGAGCACATTAAATAAATGTTTTTCTTTTCTGTCTGCATTGTTGCCTTTTTTTCTTGGCTTTTTTTATGCGCAATACCCATTCGAAATGGGTAAACAATAGGGTATAATGGTTGGGTTCACTTGCTTGTGATATACAGAAGGAAGAACTCAATTGGCTTTCTCAGAGTCTAAGAAAAAGGGTCCTATTATTTCGAAAAACAAATTCTTTTAATGCAGGGTATCATGTTAAATTAAGTATATTGAAAATGATCAGTTATTATAAATCGATAAATATTGAATTTATACATAGAGAAATAACGAACGTGTAGGTCGAAAAATATATAGAAATGTCAACCTTAAAATCAGCAAATATTGTATGTATATGTCGTTTTATATCGACTTAACAGGTCGATAAATTTCGAGTGTGGAAATTAAGAAATATCGATTTTAAAAATTGGAAAGTATTGAATCGAATTAATGAATGTCGATTTTAAAAATCGACTAATATCTAATGTGAAAATTTATCTATATTGACTTTTGGTCTACAGCAAGCTTCGAGCTGAAAATGTCTCTGTGTATGCATATATTTAAGCTGGAATGTATAACAAGCTATTTACAGGGTAGCTGCTAGTCATGCCCACTTCTTTCCTATTTATGTGACTGCTTTAAAGGACAAACATTGGGCACAGCGGTTACCATTTTGTTGAGTGACCTGCCTTTTCGCATTTTCTTAACCCTCGACCCTTCGCACGCACACCCGCTCAACACCTCACCTCCTTACCAGTCTTCTCTCATACCCCACTCGAAGGTTGCCTTTTGTTTGCCTGGCAAAGATTAGGACGCATTTGCGGTCACGTTATTGCCCACTGATTAGGCCATGCTGGCAGCTTGCCCCGCCCCGCACACCTTAAACGTGCACCCTTTGCGCCTTACTGTCACTTAATGGGCTTTACACTTCATGTTTGTTGCACCCCGAGGGGGGCTTTGCTTTTCAATTTGTTAACTTATGCAACTCACTGTGATAATTCTCAAATTGAGTATTAAAATTTGTCCATGCCTGCGGCCACAAAATGCATTTCGAATATTACAAAATGTACCTAAATTTGGAAAATTCTATCGTTATTTTTTTATGCTCTTGGTCTTTTCTATTTTAATAATAATAATTTGTGTTTTGGCCTTTGGATCGGTGGGTGGGAAAACCGTTTTGCGCCTCTTTCGACTCAATGCACAGCACTCACTAAAAATTTAATAAATAAAATATGTTATTTATATTGCTTTTTAGCCCTCTCTGTGTGTGTGTGTGTGCCTGCCTGTATGTGTGAATGTGTGTCCTTATGTGCTTTGTCGTTTTTGTTTGGGCTCACAAATTTTTGATGAAATGTTTTCATTTAATACTTATATTCCTATACGTAGTACGAGAGTACTCTCATAGATGCAATACACATACGAACAGCTCTAGATGCGTTCTTCAGTTGGACCTGAATGGACCTACACACACATATGCATTGGTATGAGTAACAGGTACACACACATATATATGCAGCTAGTCTAGAGATGGTCACATGACTAAAAATATTCCGTCATGCATAATAAAACATGCAACAGAATTGCATTTGTATTTCGTCTTTTCTGTTTTTTCCTTATTTTTGATATGCTGGAATCCCAGCTGAAGTTGGAAATGTCGTCTGGTATAAATGGCAAATGGCTTGGGACTTGGGTAATATAACATACTAAACTTGAAAGTAATATAACATATATATATATACGTGAATTTTAAATTTGAGCTATGTTTCGCCTAGTATTAGAGCAAATGTGTTAACAAACAAAGCTTTGCAGCGGATTTTGTCATTCATTTGGTTTTCTTTTTGGACAGAAAAAGTTGAAATAATATTGTCTTTAGAGAAACCTCTCAAACTTATGAAAATATGAATTCGTTTTGTGTAGATACAACATTGACAAGTGCAGGATTTGCAAGTTTTTCACAGTCTGTCTGTTTATTCGGACGGATTCTGAAGTAGTTAGATCCCCTTTTCTATAAGTTATACAAGTTTCATAGCAAACTAGCATTTACCCTATATATAGAGATTTGTTATAGATATACAACATATATATAATGTCTACAATTTAAAGAAAAGGGAAAAGGCGTTTTGGCTCTGGTTTAATAGAAGAACCTTCCAATTGCGGGTTAGTCTTAACCTTATAATGGCTGATCTCCCTCCTTTAAAATATTTATATTTTTCTTTCTTTCGCTCACTCTCACTTTGCTTAATCTGTCGTGAAACTTAGCTTTTGAACTCTTCTTTGTGCCGCATCCTTGACATTTTTTGAATAATTAAAAGCTTTTACAAAATTGAAGAATTTGTATCTTATGTGAATGTAGAAAAAGTCTGTCTGACCCTACCACTAGCGAAATTGGATGATAGCCTATATTTTCATTTGTTTTATATATGTTTTGGCCTTGGCTCGGTCAAGATTTTAAGCAAATTGAGTTTAATTTAATTTTTCAATAGATGATTATAAAGATTTTCAGCAAATTTAATATTTTCAATATCTTATATTGAATAAGGAATATTTTAAATTTGTTGGCCTTGAGTAGATGTGATTTATACGGACTTAATTAAGTTAATTTAATTCAAAAATTTCGATATTCAAGTTTTTAAGTACATGTGATTTGATTAGAATTAGAAATTAGATTCTATTTATTAAACTCACGCTCCCACCTCTAAACAGTTATACTAGACGTATAAGCAATACCTGTGCTGTTACATATAAAATATCACTCATACGCTACGTTTGTCGCGTCTGTCTCTTATATTTTATTCATTTCGCTGTGACGTCTGTCGGCCTTGCCTTTGCGCCAGTATTTTAATGCCCCTTAATAAAAAATAGAATAGGTGAGGGGAGAGCGAGAGAGGTGGCGGGCAACCAACATAAGAGAGTGAGAGAGAGGGCAATAGAGAGTTGGAGGGCAATCAATAGACAGGTTAAAATGAGAAAAATGTACACGGCCGTGTTCATTGATATATCAACTGGCTAGTATTTGCAAAATACCCTATAAAAATACCCACTAAAAATATGCATATTTTGGCCGAATTACGCGAGTTGTGTTTTAGACATTAGCGAAGCGCGTGGTTTAATATATTTACAGCATTTGTTTTTTGTTTTTGGCGATCCATTAGAGTTGTTAATCGGGAATTGTTTGCTTAGCATCCGGAGTTGCGGCTCGATCTTCCGCTCGCAGGATCGGTTGCGGGATCGTCACTTACCATTTTTGATGCTCGGTTCGCGTTTTATTGAGGGCGCTTTCCTCAGGGTTTTGGTCTTGAATTCGGGCTTGGGTTCTTCTTTGGGTTCTTTGAGAATTTCATCAACTTTGGGTACCTTTTTCAGCACTGGTCGTATTTTTAGCAGATTATCGGTGCTCTTGCTAGGCAACGGCTTCTCCTCGCGCTTCACGTGCCGCAACTTCGGCTTCTCCAGCTTGAAGCGCAGACGACGCTCGCGCTCCTCCTCCGTTTCGCCCTCGACGGCCTCATCGTCATCGTCGGGCGCCAGTTTTTTCATCGATTTGTCGCGCTTGACCACAACGCTGCGCAATTTGGGTTTCTCTAGGGTGAAACGTTGTGTCAACTCACTTTCCTGCGGTTCCGGCTTCTTGTTGATCTGCGTCGGACGCAGCTGTGCGGCCTTCTTCACATGCTCCGGCAGCTTGGCATCTAGCGTGGTGTCGTCTTCGTCGTCGTCGTCGTCATCGTCGTCATCTTCTTCCTCCTCATCGTCTTCGTCTTCTTCGGTTGCTTCCTCCTCGGTTTCGGTTTCTTCTTCACTTTCCTCCTCCTCCTCTTCGCTTTCTTCTTCCTCGGAGGAGGATTCGGGCGGCGGCGTTGGCTCCTTCTTCTTGGCCGCGGGCTTTTTTGTTGCCAAACTGGCCGACGCTTTCTTAACAGGCTCTACGGCTGATTTCTTTGCTGGCTCTGGCACTGTTTTTTTCACGGGTTCCGCTTGCTTTTTGCAAGCTGCTGTTGTTGTTGCTGCTGCAGCTTTTTTCACGGGCTCTTCAGCTGTCTTCTTGGCTGTTGTTGTTGCTGGCGCTGCCTTTGCTTTGCTATTGCTTGTCGTTGTTGCTGCTGTCGCTGCCTCTTCGCCATTCTCCTTGGCGGCTGCTGCCTTTTTGGCCCAGGGCGTTGTCGCTGGCTTTGTGGCCGCATCCTCTTTCACCCATGGTGGACGAAATGTGGTGCGTCCGCTGCTGCCGGGGCCAGCTGCTGCTGCTGCTCCTTTTGTTGTTGTTGTGGTGCTACGGGGCGTCACGAAGGGCATTTCAGGGCAACTCGGCAACTGTTTTCCGTTCTGTTAATTCTCCAGGGGTTGTTGTTGTTCTTGCTATTCGCCCACTTTAGCTCGTCTATTTGCACACACTTTTTAAATAATTTTCTGTGATTTTTATGCCGCGTTCTTTGCGTTGTTGTTGTTTTTGTTGATGAAAACACAAAACTTTGCACATTAGCACCAGCGCGGAGCGGGCGGGCGACGGGCGAACAGTACACTTGGCTCACTCGCCACTTGTCCAAAAGTTGTTTTTTTTCTTTTTTTTTTTGTAAAATTTTTATTTTATTTTTTGTATATTTTTTATGTACATATATTTTTATTTTTGTTCGTTTGTTGTTGTTGTTGTGTGTTGCTTGTTGTGCTATTTATTTAAATTTCTGTGCTGTGGACGATGAGCAACAGCTGTTTAAAATATTTTCAATACTCAATTCCGTATATATTTGGGTATGTTTCATTTTGAGAATTTATTTATAAATGCATGCGCTCATTAGCTGGCGGCGCATTTGTTGTTGCTGCTGCCGATGTTTTTGATGTTGTTGTTACTATTGTTAGCGTATATGTTTTAGCCAAAATGCACAGATAGAATGTAGGCCTGTGTGTCATAGTAACAAAAGGCGTCTAAAACTGTTCAAATTGGCCAAATTTTCCGGCTCTAACAAGCTGTGTTACGCGTTTAATCCTATGCATTTTCAGCTAACTGCCACAACAACAACAATAGCAACAACAACAGCAGCAACAACAAACGACAGCTAACAATTTGCTATGCCACTGTGCCTCTGATATGTAAAAGGCGAAAATATTTAATTTTAGGTTCTTTGTGCCAGCGAGAGTCAAAAATATCGTCGGCAGAATCAAAAAAGAAGCAAAAAAAAAGAATGTTCGGAAAAGCGGAAAAAAAATCCGTGCTGGCTCTGACGCTTGCGTCTTTTGCCGCTTTTGCCTCGTTTCACAAAGTATACAATGAAACGCACACTCACACACAGACAAGCACATTAAGGAGGAAAATACACAAAAAAAGCAGCACCGAGAGAACGAAATGTGAATTTGTTTCATTCCATTGCCAGTTTCCATGGTTTTTCTCTCATCGCCTTTTTTTGCTTTTCCATTTTCCATTTCTCCAATTCGTGCGACGGCCTTTTGCAAATTTTGTGTTCATTCTTTCTTTTTTTTTTTAACAAAAATTCAGTTTTGCCTTCGCGTTAATTAAACATGACATGCAAATAAAAATTTTACTTATAAATATGCCGTCATTAGAGGCGGAATTATATAGCGATAACCAGCGATTTGCGCAAAAATTATTGCAATTACGAAAATATTTGATTTTATTCAAAAAAAAAAAAATATTTATATTTTAGATTTATCAAAGCTTTGGCAAAGTCTTGTTGTGTTTATAGAAAGAGTTTCTCGGGCATTTTCTGGCATAATCGTCGTCATTGGCTGTGCAAATCTTTTTGCTATGCTGCGCATTTTGCTTCATTTATTTATACATATATATAAATTTATTTTATTTTATTTTTTTTTTTCAATATTTGATTCGTTTAATGCAGCTGCATTGCACGTTGCGGCTGTTTATAGACACATATATTCTTTTTCTTTCTATATATTAGACAGAACGCCCACACACACAAACGCACACCCACACACACACACACACACATACACACTGGGCACAGTGGAGCAAATAAACACATAGACGAAACGGTTTTAGACACTTTTTCTTTTTTTTTGCTCGACACGCAGCGCCTATGACGGCGTTTCAAAAACTAAATTCATGTATTTTGAACAGCACGCCAAATGCTTGAAAATTTCGAATAGAAAACAATTTTTATAAATTCGCTCTCGACGTGCGGCAAAAGTGTTCTCTGCGCGCGCTCTCAAGGCAAAAAAAAAAGAAGAAAATATTTAGAAAAATTTGAAATTGAAATTAATTTTGGCCGACAAAAAGCATATTTTTAGCCATTTGCTCGGACACAGTTGAGCGCGCAGCCGATTGACCTTACAGCAGGTGCAGCATAGTTCAATGATACTGGAATTATGAATATATATATATGGATTTATGTTACATACATATATATATATAGTATCTGGCTTAAGTAGCCGGCGTCTGTTTATGGCGTGTCAATAGCTAAACTCTAATCATTTACTTTGAGCACATTAAATGGGTCTCAATTACGCAAGTTTCTTGCGCCTAGATTCTACGGTTTGTGTGTGGGTGGGCTTTTTTTCTTTTATAGGGCGTATCGCGTCTTACCCTGTGATAAAAACCACTCGTCTAGAAAATCCAAACCCATTTTTTATAGCGCCTGTCTCAGTTCTTTTGTATTCCTGTTAAATCTGTTTTCTTTGTTGATTCTTTAGTTTCTCTTGCAATATTTACATTGTCGCAATCGCCCAGTTGTGCTGTTGCCTCCTCTCAGTTCTATCTGTTGAATGCGTTTGACATTTGCCGCAGAGTGATTGCGGGAATTAGCTATCGTTTAGTGCGTGATATTATTTTTAGTACCCAACTGATTGCATATCGATTAGCCGTAATGCATTCTCACTGTGAACCAGCGCGAAAAGTTCTGAAAGTGAATAAAAACTCTTGATTAAAACGGTTTTTCGTAGTATTCAAATAAGGTCAAAGATGATATGAAAACAAAAAGTTTGCCATAAAAAAGTGTGTGAGGAAGCTTATATTTTTGTATTATAGGAGCTCCAGATACTTGAGGATATTGAAGGGAAGAATAAAAATCAAATAAGAGGTTGCATGATCAAGATAAAAATACAAACGATCTAGAATATTATTAATTACAAATATATGTAAAAATGATAGTAAGAAAGGTTTCTGGAAATATTTAAATAAGTTAAGAGAACAGAGTATTATTGGAGCAAAATTGAACTGAAGGATTTTTAGAAAACAAAAAGTTTGCCTTAAAAAGTTTATGGGTCAACTTATATGGTTTACGGTTAACTAGAAGGGAACAATGAAAATCACATTAGAAATTGAACCAGATCAAATAGTTGAGAAATTTCTAAAAATCAATGAATGTCTTGAAACTTTATAAAATTAAGTTAAGAGAACAAATGTGCAGTTTCTGTATTTTTTTTAACTCCTTATACTTAAGGTTAATTCTATTATGGGGAAGAATGAATGACACAAAAAATAAGAAATTGCATTTTCACCATGTGGCTCACCGCAAGTATTGCCAAGATATATAGATCATAAATATTTATGCTATGGAAAAATGTACCCTCAAATTAAGAAAGGCTTGGGTTTGTTGTCAACTTTGAATTATTAGAAACAAACATTTATATATTATAATAAACTTTAAATTATTAGACACAATTAATTATATTATTATATTAGCTCTGAACTATTAAAACACGACCAACTTTGAATTATAGTATAGAAAACTGAAACTAGTAAAAGTTACTACACAACTAATTAGGAAAATAAAGGGAAAAAGTAATTAAAGTTCAAAATGAAGTGAATTAAAGCAGGAATTGCAGTAGAACCAAAGGCGACAGAGTTTTACTAAAAAGGAAGGGAATAGCAAAAGGCAGCTGGAGATGGGTTTGATAAAAGAGATAAAAAGTGAATAGTTTAAGAAGCCGGGCTACATTCGGAATGGACAAATGCGTGAAGAAAAAGGACTTATAAAAAGCGAGCAGGAAAAAAACACAAGCATTGCTATAAAAGCAAAGAAAAAAGTATATAAATAAAAAGAATTGTAAGTGCAGACCGTAAACCGATTGAAAGGAAGAAATAAAGAGCAAATTTCCGAAAAAGAAAATAATAGGAAAAAAATGCCAAAATGCGGTGACGCAAAATGCTGAACAAAAATGTGATAAGAAGGAGTTATGAAAAGAAAAGGACCCAGTTCCATGAGCGCAGGGGATGTCAAAGGGAATGCATAACAAATGCCATAATGGGGAAAAGTCAGCCACCTCCCAACTCCCTAGTATTATGTGAAACGTAGCCCACATAATTTCAATTAACTTCCAAGTTGGCGTCGCTCGTCAGTGTCACATTACAGAAATATCTTAAAATAGATCAGAATTTAAATGGGCAGTCGCTCCTCTCGTGGGCTTATTATTAATTAATTTATTTCTATTTAAAATTCTATGAAAATATGCTGCAGTAATTATTATTTTTCGCCCCAAAAATATTTCCATTTGCTGCGCTGCACAAAACCAATTTTAAATTTGTATATAATATGTATGCAAACAATAAATGTTTTATAATTTAACGTTTTTCAACACTGTCATTTGCATGCCTACATATTGCACTAGGCGTATGCGTAATGAAAACATTGACAAAGCAAGCGAACTACTGCGGGGCATGGGGTAAAGTGAATATAAGGCCAGTTGCATATTTTTCAACTGGCGGCACGTGAAACAATTCTTCCACTTTTTGTTTGCACTGCATTCCGTTTGTGAAATTTCCCAGATGAACATAAATATGTATGCATATATATACATATATATATATGTTGTGTGCATGGAAGTTAGTCGAAAACAAATGCTTGCATAGTTTTGGGGCTAAATGCAGCAAACAAATTTGCGCTGCATACTTTTTGGGGGTGTCAGAAAACATTGACTATATGTTTACTATATGTATACCCTGTATCACTTATGGTAGTGTGGGTATATTAACTAGTAGAAATGTTTGTGACTAGCAGAAAGGGGTTTTCGGGATTGTCAAAACATGTTTCATACATTTGATGTTAAAAATAATAAAATGTAAAAAATTGTAATATATATATAAATAGATTTTTTTTTTTAATTGTATATAAATTAAAATTATTAAATAATTTGAATTTGAATATAAATTAGTAGTTATATATCAAATATTTATGTATTAACCTTGCATACCCTGTAAATAAAATGATATGGGTAAATAAACTAAAGAAAATGTTGCAAGACAGGAATGGCGTTTTTTGGCTTACCTGAAGGAAATATTCATAAAATGTAATAAAATTATAAGCATATTGTAAAAAATAATAAATCCCTCTAAATTCCTGTCGATCTTACTTACAAGCAGGTCATAAAATATTTTGTGATATTTCTCCCAGAAGCAAGTATAGCTGTAAGGTGTGTGCGACATTACAGGGTATTTTGCTGCGGATATTTTGTAGCATTACATTATATTTATTTATTAAAATATATTTGTTTTTAAACCTTAAACCTATTGAAGATGGGTAAGAAGGTATAACTATTTTGTGCGTGT